TTTTTTTTTTAAACTTTTTTATTTTTGACTAATCACCCACAAAACAACAGAAGACAATGCTACTGAAAAGAAAAATAAGTCACTGGGGTGCTCATGAACCATGCATACCAAAAATGCAGCATGTGCTCAAGCAATGGTAAACACTGGGCAGTGCCACTGCTGTGGAAGCAGATTTAGATTCAATCACAAGCAGCCTGGGGTGGCACAGTCATCACCTTCCTCCAGGCAAGCTCTAGCAGTTCATTCACCAAGTACATGATGAAGGCTTAAGAACTCCAGGAAGTCTTGCTATCGCATATCCAGAGCCACAACCCGGCATTTCGGCACTCGGTGCAAGTCATGGGCAGAAAGCCCCGCTATGCACTACTATGTGGTATTTGACGTGGTATCCCACTGGCGCTGTCCTTGCTCTGGTACTGACATATCAATGCCATTCATTCCAGCAAGGAGGACATCTACACTGCCTTCAAAACTAGGGGCAAGCATGAGCACGGTGTCAGGCAACCACACCAGGTGCCTCATCACACCCACAACATGAGGAAAAGGGCGGGGGGGAAAGGAATCTTAGTCCGACACCATAAATTAAATAAAGTGAATAACCTAAACCATCAACCAAAACAGAAAAAAGAGGAAAAAGACTCCCTATGATGCATCCTGGAGTCCTTTCATGGACTTATTATTACACTCAACATTGGCTTTTTTTCTTTTAGAGAAACGCACAGCTTTCATGAGTACAACTTTTACATGCAAATTTTGTTTATTGCCTCTGTACACTTGACTGTACCAAATCCGAAGCGTATGAATTCACAAATGTCAGAAAAACTAGTCTGAAATGGAATGCAACTACCCTTCACAATACACCACAGCTGAAAACCTTTGTATTATAATAGATGCACACAAACAAAAAATAAAACCTGCTTTTAAAACCAAGGGGAGCTGTACATGCACCATCTGAACAACAGGCAACTGCTGTCTGACTCAACAGCAATTTGAGCCCAATTGTTCTCAATTGAATCAATAAGCTAGCTGAAAAAAAAAATACTAAACTTTTTAGTAAAGTGTCTAAAGTTACCCTCTGCAGCCATACCAGAACTGGAGTATTCCCATCTCAAGCCACATGCGGCTAGGCAGGATGTCTGTTTGTAACAGTACTGGCAATGCTGGAGATGGCACCCTTCCCACTAAAACAGTCCTTAAATAATTAACGGTCTGGCATTAGGGCACGGGGGAGACTGCTGCATTTCAGTGTGGGGAGCGAACCAAGGTGCCCTGTCTACAGAAGTACACACACACGCTTTGTGGGAAGGCCCTTTGGTTTCTATGGCAGGACGATGGAAAGCTGGAAGCAAGAACGGCTGAGAAAATTCCTCAAGCCATAAAGAAGGGGGAAAGGGTTGGGGGGGTTTTTTGTTCCACGTGAACAACATGAAAAATTATGTAATTTAGTAAGACCTCTGGTTTTGAATATTTTCCCAGACATTTCAGGCAGCTGCCGATTTCCTGGTTCACTGCAGGCTCTAGTCTTAGAGGCGACAAGAAGTAGTCAGGGGCCGTACTGAAGGGTTTGGGGTAAAAACAGCCATATTTCCTCATGCCAGTCTGCTGCCTTAGGCTCCACTGCTCCTCTCTGGGTGCAAAGGGGAGAACATTGACACTGGCAGGGGGAACAGAAGCCAGACAAGAGTAGGAAAACTGCTCTTCCTCCAGGCTATCAAATGGCTTTTCACCATCCTTCTGCAGAGAACTTGGGGTACTGAAAAGCTGCAGGAGGAAGAGCAGCTAGTTTCTTATTTAAGAGCTCATATGCTGGGACACATGCACCATCAATGTACGTAACTGCCCCTTGGGGTGGAAAACCAAGGGGGAAGACAGGCAACTGCTCACTGATCGTGCTCTAGGTAGGCGAGGGAAGGCCAAATGGCTCCAGACATTCAAGGAAATCTGGATTCCTGCAGCTGAACAAGAGATTTTTTTTACATAGCCCCTTTGCTGGCAGATGAAATCCAGCAAATCACTGCAGTCACCAGGCAGGCCTTCCTTACCAGCAACATGGGAACAAGGCTAGGTCTGAAGAATTTATAGGTTTCAAGAGGAGACAGCTTAGAGCAAGCACACTTAACTTGGGCAAAGAATAGCAACGTGGCAAATGTGGTATAGCTATGAATCATGCTATTGATTTTCAGTATCTTTTGTGCAGAAAATTAAGTTATGTAAATCCAGGCCTTTATGAATCCTAGCTTTAATGTGGAATGGAGCATTTGCTTAAGTCAGCAGCTTATTTATGCAATTAATGCATATTTCCTTATGAAAATATGCTGCTTTAGTCTTCTGTGTAGACACCAATATAATTATAAGTTTATCTAGATTTATAATCGGTGAGAAGCCATGTCATACAAGGATAATTCCCCTGTTTTAATTGACGATGTAAACCAAGAAAGAAACTCGGGCACTTGTTAAGAGGACCATGCAGGTACCGTAATGTTAACTATAAATCGGTATGATTGAAAAAGGTAAGCATGATAACAGAGCAAGACATTCAAACCAAAATCCAACGTCATCAAATGGCACCTGAAGATAGTGCAGTTGCCATACATACAATATACCGATTCTTGAATTTCAGATGGTTGACAAAGGTAAATGCAAGTTTGCAGGCTGTACCAATGGAGGACAAGAAGGCTGGATTTTGAACCCGAGACCCTGGGCATTTAGGCATTAACCAAAATGCCTACATTTGGGCATTAACCAAACTGCCAAAATGCCTACATTTGGGCATTAACCAAACTTCCTACATAATGGTCATGTCTACACATGATCCTTTTCTATACTAATCTACTGCACAGCAAAGGGTCACCTATACTACCCATATGTAGGCACTAAATTTGCTCCGCAGTAAAGCCAAATAGCATTAATTGCATGTGTAGACACACACGCCCAATGTTTCACAAACTATATCCTCTCATCAGCCACTGTTCTCCAGCATCTCATGGGTTTCATAATGCTTCCTTCCTTCAAAAAGAGGATACAAGTAGATATAGGAAGTTTGTTTACTTGAATTTTTTTTTTTTTATTTGAATCACATTTCAAGCCAAACAGAAAATAAGTTTAGTACTTTCTAACAAATAAAAAACAGAACTGTTCTAGCCCCCAAAACAAGTGTTTCATTTCAATTCACATAACTATAATCAATTCCAGGGGCAAATTTTAAAATATAAATTAAAAAGAATTTCAAAACAAAAAAGTTGTTTCTAAAAAAAATGTGCATGCTTCTCTCGCAAACAAGTATTTCTGCCACAAACACTGATGAGTCTGTATCATTTGTTAATAAATAATAAAATTTTGATCAAGAAGTTCTGCCCAGCTCTGAAAGGATATTTATTAATATTTCTGGGGCCTAGCAATGCGAGCATAAGCAAATAGGAAGGTCAAGATGCAGTGAGTAGAAAAAAGACAAACAAATATTGATGGAACTAGAGTTATTAGCACTAATCACAGATCTGCAGGTGACAGACAGTGAACTTGTGAATGTTTAGGTTCAGACAGGTCAGCAACAGGCAGCAGCTTACTCCCCATCATGCTCCCCTGGATTGTGACATGAAAAGCCAGCAGTCGGAGGTGCCAGTTGGACACACACAGAGGCCTTGGGAAAGTTAGGTAGCAAAGGGACAGAAAGAGCAGGAAGGGAAGAGCATGAAGAGCTGCAGTAGGAGAAGCCTAGGAAAGAAAGGAAATGGGAGAAAATCTACATGTCTGGAAGGTGAGTAAGAAAGAGAGGAAAGGATGAGGGACGAAGACAGCAAAGGCAGCGAGATGGGTATGCATTTCATTGCGCACACTGGAGTGGATACACCACACCAGTGATGACCAGGATCAGACATTTGCAAGCACGTGGTGAAATGGCTCAGGTCCCAGGTCAGAGCTCAAATGCACCAGCACATCCTTGAATCCAGAACAACTCCAGCCACTGGCATAGTATTGCTGTCATGGGCAGGAGGGAGTAAAGTCAGGGCAGTTACACTAGTGCTATAGCTCCACTGCAGACAATAAGGAGAAAAGCTTTCATGTTCTCTTTCTTCTAGTTTTAATCTGCACAAGCTCTCTGCTCCTGTACAACACACTAAATGAATCGATCCATGTCACACATCTCCAGCCAGCAAAGGCAAGGGGATGTTGCGCTGTTTGTTTAATATTCTGATCAGCTCTCCATTTCCTCCGTCTTGATATATTTAATTTTCTATAAACATTATTTGATAAGTACCCACAAAGGCCCAATAAGACATTTCCCCCCTCCTCATACCTTAGTGATACATGTGGTTCACGTGAAAACACAGATTTTTATCCCCAATCTACCATAAACATGAAGCTATTATAATATTTGGAGGGATTAGACTCTAAGCATAGTATTTGATATCATTTAAACAATCATCTGTATAAAGGGGAGGGAGTGGAGAACCCTGTAAGCCTGCTATTTCCTAACTAATGATTTCATCATTCATTCATAACATTAGATTAACTCAAACTAGATTGTGCGCAAAACTGATCCTTTTAGGCCTTGTCTGTATTACAAGAGTTGCATGGGTGTAAGTAAATCCTTTTCAAATTGTTCGGATTAAACCAGTACAAATCTCTAACGTACACAGGACACGTTCCAGTTCATCTTCATTTGGTAATTTACCCACGCAAGCTAAACTGATTTGGGGAACGGTTAAAGTCAGTTCTAGTGCAAATCCCTCATGTAGACACACTTCTTAAAACTAAATCGATTTACTTACACCAGTCCTACTTCTGTAAAGTGTGCAAGCCCTTAGGGACTATTTGTGAGATCCAGGCTATCAGGGCTTGGCGCTCTTATCACATGAAAAACCTTGTCAGTGTTTACTCATAAAGGGACTTGATTATCGAGATGTTTGGTAATTAGCTGTGTGTGTAATGCCGGCTGTGGAAAGAGGGTTGGTTCCCCCCCCTCCCTTTTGAGCTGAAATGGTATTTTATTCAAAATCATAAAGCTTTTCAGGCAGTGAGGTAGTACACATTTTAGCAGGGAAAACAGGATACGTATGCACACACCTGGGGCTTTTGTTTAGTCTTTTAAGGGCAGTTTAAGAGGGCAGTACATGATCAGCCACCCATACACAAACCTTCAAGCAAGCCTCTTTTTAAAAAACTCTGCATCTTTGACGAGGTGCATTTTCAGTAGTTTTAACTGGATTGTACTGGAGAGAGGGGTAAAATCTTGAAGCCACAAAACGATTCCCTTTGCCACATGTTCAGCTGGCACTGGGTTTGAATTCCAGAGCAACTTCTTATGATAAATGTACACAA